GATGGCACTTCTGGGAATTAGTTAATGCTTTCAGAGTGTTGTGGTGATCAGCCTGAGAGAGAGCAGTTCACGCAGGGCTCCTTGCATGAGCTGCAGGACAGTCAGCATGATTATAGGCAGATAATCAGGAAACCATCTTATTAGATAAAGCACTTAACAGCTCCTTAACTGTAGGAATGCAGTTCCTGACGTCTAGAATACTCGCAGCTTCCCAGAAACGCTGCATAGTGAACATCTGTGTGCAATACTACTTAAGAAGTGAAACTGTGAGGTGGGAGGAATGCAGAGAAGACGCTTTACCTCTGGTCTGAATAGCCTGAATGGGGCTATGCGTGAAGGATTTAATAACTCTGTGCATAAAAACTGCAGGATCTAAGTGTCCAGTGCAACCTGAGTGTCACTATGATTAGAAGCTATTTACTTGTTATTTGCATGAAAAAGGGAGAAAGGCTGAAGCGAGAAAGTAACAGATGCCCCAGCGAGGTTTAAAAAGCTTTTAGATATAGTTAGGATGAAAATTGATTATTAGCAACTAATTTTTTTTTTCCATCGGAGGCTGTTGAAGAGATGGAGCTGATGATGTGTTCCAGACATAAAGCTTTAATCTGTTCATCTGCGACACTCTTTTTATAGTTTTTCCTTGAACCTTTTCATGTAATAGTTGCTAGTATTCTTTTCATTGGGCTTCATATCCTTTCCATTCTGCTCCTCACCTTTCATCCCTGCCCAGTGATAGAGGACTGCATGAAACACATCAACATGATCTTTTCTGTGGAAACAGTACAGTGGGGTCTGATCGAGTTGACGTAACTACAGTCCTAGATAAGATGAAAAAGTCTTTTCTGTACCCAGGTTTAACACCTTCTGCAGTTGCAGATGGAAACGGGAAGCAGAAAATACTTGTTCAGGCAGTCCGTCCAAAATCTACTGCCCAGTAGAAGAAAGGGAAGTTTCTATTCCCGTTAATATTAACGGGAATGGGGACATCAAGATGCTCTAGAGCGCTTTGAAAAAATTCCTTTTTATAAGATTAAAAAGAATTACCCTCAAGTCTTTCATTAACTGAACTGCTAACTCCAAACACCATGTTTTTGCCTTGACTTTTCTTTAGCACTGTTGTCTGCTCATGCCCTCATCTGGGATTTCAGTGTTTGTTGAAGGCTTGTTTCTGTTTCTTCCTGCGTTTCTCGAGGGTTCAGTGAGAACTTCCAGCACAAGGAAGGACAACGGAATTTGCAAGCCAGATTTGTTAGTAGATTTCAAAGTTGGCAAGTATATGTGATTTTGGCGGAGGAACAAATGAAGGCCGCCACTATGGGAAGACTAATGAGAGATACTTCAAGTTATTCCATATAACGTCTCTTCCTTTATGAGCGGTCTCAGGGCATGGAGGATAAAGTGAGAAGCTAGGTGTGGTTTACACTAAATAAAAAGTGATTTTAAAAATGAGTAGTGGTTTTTTTCTGTTACTTAATTGGGATTAAAATGAAGTTCGTTCTTAGGGAGCAGTTTGTGTGTTCTCAGATGTGTCATACCCAAACATTTCAGTGCTATTTGTTTTGTGCTAATAGCACCTTAAGCCTTAAGCCTTTACGGTTAGCAAAGTACATTTGACAGTGTTCCGTGGAAATTTTGTCCTTAGTTACGCAGACAAACTGTCTGTTCATGTGTCACAGCTGAAAAAAAATACATGAAAATAATACATCTAAAATTTTGTGTTTTGCCAGCTGGATTAGAGTGCCCTGCCATTGTGGGACAATAATCATATGTTTCAACTCTTGCCTATTACTAGGAAACGAGCAAGGAACAAAACAACCTTGGCCTTCCCAGTATCACATGTCTTGTATTTCCAGAATTTCCTAATTATACGGACCTTTGTGTTGCCATTCAAAGGACAGCCATTTTAAGATGAGGGACTTGTGCTTGATATGGGGTAGTAGAAGGAGTTCTGGCTATTGCATATTAAAGCTTTTGTTTGTCTTCTGTGCCTGGGACAGGCGCTTTGCACCACGAAAGACACTGAAATCATTATCTGAATTTCCAGCATCCCGTGCTACAGGCTTCATCTCTTTGCAGGTAGGGAGACTGGAAGAATGTGGTCCGTCTTCCTCCTCACTCCATTCCCCAGCACTCCCAGACTTGATGCAAGCCAGCTCTCAGCTTGTTCTGAGCAGCATCATAGAGACAGATGTATTTTTCAATGTATATTAGTAGTTAATCCAGTCCACAGATGGCACACGCCTTTCAACTCTAGCCGTATGAGTTTGGGGCACTCCAAAACCTTCTAAAGCCATTGCCTGGGGCCCCCACAGTTGTTGCATATCCAGTGCTTTGTCTCTTTGCTGCTGTCATCCATGCCCATCTGTTAGGATGGCCTCATGCCAGTTTATATGTTAGGCAGATCCTGTCAAATGGGACTGGATAGTGAGTTTTTATGTTTAATGTGCTCAGGGTGGCAACATGCTGTGTCTGCTTGTAGAAATCTTCTGTGCAAGTCGTTGCTGTTCACAGGCATTGGGGCACTGCCACGATCAGTTCAGGAACATATGTAGACACCTCCTTCCAAATGTTGGAACTAATATGTCCACTAATTTGAGGAGAATGAAGATTATTTTAAAAGAATGGAGGAAAAGTGAGATTTTCAAAAGGGAGCAGTCAAATGAGCAGACTAAATCACATTAACATTTGGGATAATTTTGGGAGGGCAGGGGCATTTCATCCAGTGAAATACGAGATTGGGAAAGGCACCCAATTGGATCAGCAGCAGGCTGAGTAGTTGCCTGCCTCTTGCAAAGCTTGGAATTTGTGTGCGTCTTTACTGGTGAACCAAGAGCTGGCAAGTGGAAGATGCTTCTACCTAACTGCAGCTCTCAGTTGAAGGAGAAAACGTTTTGATCCAGGAACCCGTGCTTAGTGCTTTTCAAGTTTGCTCTGCTCAGTTTTGGTACCAGGGTGTCCGTTTCAGTTGGGAATGTGATGTTTCCTTTTAATGCAGCAGCAAGAGCAGAAGATCCCATGTTAGAACAGATGTGGCCAGACCAGTGTAACACATTCTTTATTCATACAACAGTAATTTGCTCTGAAACAAGTGCTTTTGTACTTCCTACATCAACAGTAGAAAGAGCTGTACCATTTAAATTATGCCAACTCTGCCAGATTATTAGTACAGGTAATGCAGGGCAGACATTGAGTAATCCCTTAGGCATATGCTTTTGCTCTGGATAAGTCCCACTTATATCCACTGTTACTATCTCCTCTTTGCAATCTCATCGGTATTCTTTCCCTTGTGCTTGTATATGTGGTATGCCATTTTTCATTACTCCTATTGAAGGTCCGTTATCAACTACCTTGTTGTCTTACTTCCTTCTCAAGCGTTGCACTCTACAGCACTTAATACAGAAATCCTTGTTGTTTTGCTCCCACAGGCTGAGAATAGGTCTCTGAGCAAGCTCAGCTGTATCCTTTTTCTCTAATCAGCTGGAACCTCCATTCAGACATGCTCATGTATTCAGGACAGCATGGTTTTGCTTTACGCTAATCAGGAGGAGGTTAGGGGGGAAGGATTGGTTTGTAGCCCAGAGACCTAATTTGAAGTCATATGGAAGAGAGTGGGTGCCAGAAGCCTTTTGGTTCTTGAATACAGATTAGTTCTGCAGGGACTGATCCAAGAAGCTCAGGAAAACCTGCGTGGCAGGCAGGGGAGAACTCCCCATTCTTGCTTTGTTTTTCACTAAAGGTCTTAATGATGCCCGTTAAGAAAGAGCAGTAAGCAAGCACAACATCAGCACTCTCAAGCAAAACAGTTAAGCTATATGTTTCGAAAGCGGTTTCTCTTGTGGTGTATTTCTTGGGAAAAATTACTTATTTAAATCTTAGAAGCCTTATGCAGTTGCATTTTTAAATCTGCTGTATAGGTTTGGCTTGCAACCAAATTAATAACTCAATAAATCTTTGCTATAATATTCAAGGTGTTATATCAAGTGTGCTCATTGGCATGGTTTACTGAGACCCAGTGGGTGCTTTTTTGTTGTTGTTGTTGGTGGTGGTGGTGCCAGTCAAAACTGAAATCCTTTGTTAATTAAAAAACCAAATCTTTATTTCTTACTTTCTTTTTAACCCAAACACTTTTGCCCTTTTTACCGGAGTAATATACTTTGATCTGCAAATATGGTATTTCAGCAGTTCATCTGGAGCTCATTTCTGGTGGAAGCTTTTCAGAGCAAAATTCTAGGGCTGCAGCTTTTCGAGTAGCGGGTTGTTTTTCTGAGATGAAAGCTTAGGCTCAGGAGTGACTTCTACCATATTAGAAGGCCATGGTTATTAACCATAAAAAGCAGTGATGGAGATGACTAGTTTGTAAAGTGCTGCTATGCACCATTATATAGCTATTGTATAAAGCTGAGAAAAACTAGACTAAGGCAAAATCAAACAGGGAAAGCAAAATCCTCACTTTTTGCCTATAAGAAAGGCTAACCTAGTCTCTTTTACTGCTTTAGATTTGTGCTTTAAATGTAACGTGCGTATGTGTGCGCGCGTGCCTTGGGGTGAATCAGCGTCTCATAAATAACAAAACTTGGCAATTCCTAAACTGTGTGTGAGGAGGACACTTGGAGCTATGGACAAATGCACCTAAACATGCCAGGTTCTGCTTAGAAGTGTTGCAACTTTGTAGTTGCGGCTGTTTATGAAATGGGCTTTTTCACGTTGACTTTGGATCCTGAGAGTCCTGAGCACTTTCAGTACCACCGTAATGATTCCCCCTCTTTAAAGTACTAGACCCTCCTAGATATTAGCAACCAGCTTTTGCAGAGTGTTTCTCCAGGTGTTGCCTCAATTGGGTTGCTTGGCTTTTGACCACAAGCGATGGCTAGTTCGATGCCAACCGTTGTGCTGCATCCTAGTACGCGTGGCTTGGCTCCAGGGACTGGGCTATGGGGAAATGGCGTCTACCTAACCTGCGATCTACAAATTCCTTTTTCTTTTTTCTTCGTTCTTCCCAGAGAACATCCCGCGGGAAACGTTGATGCATTTTGCAGTGAGGCTTGGGCTGCTGCGGCTGACATGGTTCCTGCTACAGCAGCCAGGTGGAAGAGGAGCTCTCAGCATCCACAACAACGAAGGGGCAACGCCTGTGAGCCTGGCCTTGGAGAGGGGCTATCAGAAACTGCACCAGCTTTTGACAGAGTAAGGATGATTTGGTGCTTCCTCCACTAGCTTTCCATTCTCTGGGTCATGCTTGCCTTTACTGTACGTTATCACTGAATAACATCTAAGAGCTGAACTCTACCCTTAAAGACATTTTTTTCTATAATGTTATTTTTACCTTTATTCCTGGAAACAATGGAGCAAGCCCTTAGGGTTTGTGGAAGTGCAATAGTATTGTTGTGTTCTCCTTTTCTCTTTTGTTGCAGCGTTCTGCTTCCAGCTGTCCCTTAAATGAGTCACTGCAATATTGACTAATTAAAGACAAACCTTATGCAAACACAAATGAAAAAGCTTTTTTTTTTTTTTTTTCTTTTGAACAAGTACAGCTGTCCAAAAGAGAGTAGCTGGCAGGGTTTGCGATGGTAGTTGTGACATCATTTACAGCGTTCCTATATAGCGCTTCAGGATTTTTTGGTTAAAAGGAGTTATGGTGATTTTATCGAAATAAGGTAGCATCCTGTAGAGCATAGATAGCTATTAGTGTCTGATTTAGAGGAAAATTAATCTAAATATTTAAAAGCAGAAACTGTTTTCTTTTATGAATGGTCATGAGGAGCAGCTAGATCTTACTAACTAGTAGCAGGTAACTAGTCACATGTGCATTTACCGCAGGGTTTAACACGGAATTTAGAAGATGACAAGTTATTTTTGAATAGCAAGTGTTTGAAGATCAAGCTTTAAAAGGTGAAGCTGATAAAGATGGAGAGCTTAACTAAGTCTTGAGGGAGCTGTTTGTAAAGGAGGAAAGATTTAGCCTGCATTTGTGTTACTCTGATGCCTGTTTCTCTTAAGCTTTGTTATTAACTTTGTTTTTCTGATTTGAAATTTTAGATACCTAGGGTTTATGTTGAGCAACCCAACATAGGAGTCTGCTGTTTTGTTCACATTATCGTTTGACGTTGATTCATGTTCAAAACTGTAAATTATTCTACTTTCTATAGTTGTTTAGTAGGTGGTGAGGTTGTTGGCAAAAAAATAAAAAAATAAAAGGCGTGTGCTGCTGGCACGATTGCATTTAAGTGTAATCTTTGATATTTAACAATTCTGCCGACCATCTGCAAAGTGCCGGTAAGGGAAAAGGGGTAGGGTGGGTTAGAAGCTAGACTCTGACCTTTTCTTCTGCCACCATTGGCTGGGTTTAATACTGAGATGACACAGTGTTAACCAGTTTTTCCATGCGAGTTCAACTACAGTCATACTGTGAAAACATACTGCACTCTTTCTGGCTGTCTTGTAAAACTGGAGTGTGCAAATTCATCCTGTAACTACAGCAGAATCTCCTCCCCTGTGAGACTTAACAGTGTAACAGAATTTACATACAGTCAAGAAAATTAAATTAGCCAAAACTAATCTGTGTAGCTCACAGCAGACAGTATTATCTGAATAGGAGTAAAGCTGGTAATTTAGTAAGAAATGGGAAGTAAACAAAACTATTGCAACAGCTATTCATGTATTTTTTGAGGATTTCACAACTGGTTCTAATACTAGAATGGCAGTTCCTTGCTGGTGGAAAAAACGGACAGTCTATGCGCTTGGATTTCGTGGTGTTACCCCATCCCATTCGCTTTAACGGATACCACTGATGAAATCCAAGGAATTTTTCTAATGACCTTTACAGTTCATCTCTGAAAACAAGATACTGTAGTAACTTCAGTAGCATTGCCAGCAAGATCCCAGTTCCTGTTCTGCTTGGCATATCTCTGAACTATTTAGTCAAAAATTATGACTAGTTTTCCTCTTGGCTTGCTGGGTGGAAATAGCACGGATACGCATCTGACAGCTGTGCCATCTGTCCCGTGGCCCCCAAAATCTCAGTATCTCACTAAAACACTGTAAATAGGCTCTCTAGGAGAAGCCTGTGGGTGCTGGAGCTTGCACACCCTTCCTCGGCCAGCCGGGACGGTGTTGTAGTGCAGCGCGGCGAGCTCTGGGCTGCCCTAAGTGGTGGGAACTCGGTAGGACGCGCTGACCGCCACGGCCCTGCCCCACGGAAGCAGGGTGGCTGCTAAACGGACGCATCCTGTTTCCACAGCAGTGATTTTGTTGTGCTTCATGCTTTATGGAATGAGGTGGGATCTAGGCCTAAAAATCCCTGTTGAGAGGAGAAATACTGAGTTTCAAAATATAGAGATACGGCCAAATTCCACGAAGAGAGTATATATCATTTATGGGCTGTCAAAACACAATGGATACTATATAACCTCTTTTCTGCACTCTGCTTATGCATGCGCTGTATAATCCATGCACGCAAATTTGGCACGCAATTTGTACCGCTCAGCAAAACACAGACCAGCAACGCATGCTAGTGAGAGCCTGTACAAAGGAGTCATTATTTTTACAAGTAATTAAGCTACACTTCACAAAATAAATGAATGCCGTGTGTTTTGTGGTGCATTATCCTTGGGGGGATTTTATTGTTCACTTTACTTACTAATTTGCAGGACCATGCATTTTACAATGACTCTCCCAGTCATCATTGGGAAGGGGTGAAGTTTTGCTGTAATTAGGATACAGTCGTTAAAAAGCAGACACAAAAACTTCTCCGTTGTTGCAGTTTTGCCTGGGTTCAGCTGTAAAGTAGTCTGATTCAGCTGCAGTGTAAATGTTTTTCTAAAAAACTAATTACACACTCGTGACGTTTTGAATTTCTGTTTATCAGATGAGCTTTCCCTTTCCAGCTGTGGCAGAGTTCTCCATTTAAAAAAAAAGAAAGACACTTTTAAATTTAAATTTTTCAATCCTGGAAGTATTCATTTCTGTAGCATTGAGCTTGCGAACTGGCTTTTGCATCCTCTCTGACAGGAAGGATTTCTTTTGAGCCTGAAATGGAGAGCTGCAATGGAGCACCCAGGGGTTGCCCAAGACGGAGAGATGACAGCAGTGTTTATTCATCAGCTGTAGAGCATTCCTGAGGGTGCTTGTTTTATCTTCTCTGTTGAAACGGAGCAGTAAACACTGTCTTGCAGTACAATTGAAACAGGACATGGCACGAAGGATGGCGTTTGCTTAAAAACGCGAATAAGGATTTTCTCCCTCATTCTTGTCTGCTGAATAGCTGTTTGGTTAACAGCTGGTTTTAAATACACCGATCTTGTTTGAAAAAGCTTTGGAGAAGAGGTGGGTTGCCCGGCCCGCTCGGCGTTTCGGCGGTTTCCGGGTACGCCAGGAGTGAGCCCCGAAGGCGAGGGTCCTCCGTTGAAGCCTTCTGCTTCCTCGCGGTTCAGTTGGGCAACGTTAGCCGCGGGGCGTTGGCAGAGCTCGCCCGCTCTGCTCCTTGGCGAAGAGATGGCTCTGAAGAGGCAGCGTAGCTCCAATAAACGGGGGGTAATACGCTCCTTGCGAGTAACTTGGCCTCTGTAATAGGACAGCTGCGTTTTGCAGTAGTCGACGCTTTCAAATGCGGTTTAGCATAGTAATATAATCTGCCTGCCAGCTCCATGTTCTCCAGTGCTTTATAAAGCAAGCAAGTAAAATGGCTCCAAGAAACAGCCAGTATTCCCAGTTTCAGAGAAGTGGAAGCGCTCTTCTGTAAAACATACACATCCCAGGTTTATAAGCTGATTGCACTTTTGCAGAATAAAGTTTTGTCTAATAACCCCGAAGTATAAATTTTCTTCCGGGAAGCTACATGCTTGTAGTCTGTCCACAGCAAAGAAGGATTTATGCCCCCTCGGAAAAAGGATGTCCGAGAAAAGTGAAGTCCATAAGAATGACTCCTGCATTTTTCCAGTCCCTGCAAAGGAGAAGACTCAGAACTGCAGCAGTCTCTGACTTGTTCACTCTAATTTTAGTTTTGCTTTTGTTGCTTTCTCTGCTTGCTTATTACTGCGGAGCTCTTCTGTGCAGCTCTGGCATTGCTCTGTCTTAATGTATGATGGTAGCGGCCAGGCAGCTCGGTATGTGAAGCTGTGAGTCAGTATGAGTGTGTATTTCCCAGATTAAACTGGCCTAGATTTAATTAACACACATGAGAAATAACTCATTGGTAGCACAAGTGTTTTATGAAGATTTTGCAATACGTGACTATCACTTGCTGTTTTTCTGATCTTATGTAAGTAATTGGTGAAGTCTATGCTGTGATCTCTATAGTGCCTCTAAACTGAGGAGGTTTTTTTCAGTAACCTTGCATTTATAATTGAGTAGATTTTTCTGCTTTTTGGAGCCAGAGCTGCCTGGTGTCTTGTTTCTTTACACACCAGTTTAGCAAGTCCTTTAAGCATGTGTTTGATTTAAAAAAATGTCCAGTTCATTTACAGCATAGAATTTAAATGTGATATTGAAATTAGATATTTCTTAGCGTGCCCTGCCAAGTTGGGACAAAAATTAAGATGGAAATTTCTCACTTAATTTTAGAATTAGGTAGTTCTATTAAATTCAGCCTTTGCATAGGAGAAAAGCTATCTGCAGTGCAGATGTATTCCAAAATCACTAGTTTCCTAATGTTAAAAATGTGGCCAACCATTACGACTTCAGTGCCGCACTTTCGGCAGCTCTGTGCAAACAGGGTACTTTTACCTCTGACGATGTATAGGCTGAAATAGCCTTTTCTAATGAAACTAATGCGAGGGGGCCTGAAAAGCAGATACATGTTTTGCAAGGGTGCTGTTAAGCTATGAAAGTGTGGGACTAGTAGTGAGCCAACAGAATCTGTTTTTTTTTTTTTGCTGTGATTTATTAAATTTTAAGGTTATTGTTTGAAACAGCATTGTTTAATTGATTAGTCTTCCTGCTTAGAAAGATGCTGAGGGTTTCTTCTGGCCACAGGAGTACAGCAGCAGAGCGGAGTGGAGCTGGGGGCCGGGGCGATCAGGTGCGAACATGTTTCTCTCTTTCCACCTACTCACCCGCTGTGTGCTCCAGCTTTTACTGTTTTCCCAGTGGGTTTCCACATCCCTATTAAGACTCTTCTTTTCATTCGTTGGCTCCTTCTTCTCCTTTGTTTTGTGTGTTTCCACCTCTGAATGCAGAAAAGATTTAAGTCCATATAGGAGAAACAGCCTTTTCCTTTCTGGAGTATCCCTGTCAGAAACCAGAGGTCCTAGGAGATAACGCTCATGTAAACAGACCTGTGAGGAGCAAAAAAAGAAGATATTTGAGAAGATTTGGTAAGATACGAAAAGAAAATGATTCCCCTTGCCTGGTAGCGGTCCTGATCCTGAGGTAACGCAAAAAGTTACAGGGCCTTAAGCCCTTGACTGCCTTGTGCGGTTGGTAAATGCAAAGGGAGGGTGCAAGGATGCAGCTGCTAAATTATCTGAGGTACAGAATAGCTCTGTGGATTTGTGCCTTAGGATAGACCAGTTCCCTTTCAGGATAAATTTAGATAATGTGAACGAGTGATTTCCAAGAGCTGCTGTTTTGTTGGCCTCAGGCACCAGTTGGTTGGATACCCAGTTAAGATACTCTCTCACATCTAGTGTTTGGAGCAGAGCTGTTAGAAATGCTTGTGTTAGCAGTGGAGGTTAAAGTTTGAACGAACTACTGTAAAGAAAAGATTTTGTAAGCTGCTGCATCGGAGGCAAGGCGATAGGCTCCATCTTTGCGTTGTGTTACTGAGCCTGTGGTCACCCTGGCTTGGAGCACGCAGAGACGTTCTGCAGAGACGAGTCTTACTCCCGTATCACTCAAAAACGCCTTTTTAGCTATAAATAAAATACTGCATGACAAAGTAGTTTCCTTGACTGTGCTGCTGTGTTTAAAATGCAGCAGGTTGTGTCTGTTTTCACTGTGTGTGTTACATGGGTTCACCTAAAATTTCTTTTCTTTACTGGTTGAATCTTAGCTGATGTCAAGTTCTCTGTTGGACTTACGGATCCGTATTTCAACAAGTACATCTTTCTTGTTAGATAAGACTACGAAAATTACACAAATGAACAAATAAAATGTGCAAAGAGTGCATTTAATAACAGACCGTTATTCCTATGAAACGCATATCTTAAGAGTTCAGCTAATATATTTCATGACAGTTTGTGGTTGTATTTTTTTTTTTTTTCAGTGTCTCACTGACACTGAGGCCTGAAACATGTTTGGATGTAGGAGTTGCAGACCCCTTTGTGGTAGGAAATATATTCTTATTTGCTAAGATAACTGGGCATGTTCTGTTAGGATATGTGAGCCTACAAACATCTGTTGAAGGAACAAGGCAGATTTGTATGATTTACTGTTGTATAGCGTGTCGATCAACGGTCTAAGTGTAAAATGTTTTGCACCCAGTTGTTAAATATGCAGTCTGATATTGAAGTATAGGTTATGCAGCCTTGAATTCAGTTTCGTGTCCCAATCCACTTCAGTTAGTGTCCATATGAAGAACTGTCAGGAGTTAATCATTACTACATCATCTGAACTTTAACTCTTTTCTTCAGCATTAAAAGCATTCAAAGTAGTCAGTGGTCTATAAAATTTTTTTATATAAGAAACATTTCTTTATTGCTGCTTTCTTGGTCTTTCTTGGGGTTTGTGGAAAATTTGGAAACACCTGAAAAGTGAATACTCTTTGCTAAATCACTTTCCAATGTATGAAATGGAGGTTTGTTTTAACCCATTATAGCATGTATTAGCTGCATGTATTTTTTGAGTCTCATATATAATGCATATAGATAATTACAAAAATGAGGAGAAGCAAGGAAGTGTTTGTGTGCATTAGCATTTTCAATGATAATGTCACTCAAGACTGTGAGGTCATTGATGAAAAGCTGACCAAAAGTGTGCAAAGCTTGTGTAACTGTAACACTTCTGCAAATAGCGTTAACGTTCTGGTTTGCCAAATTTCTAAGAAACTTTTTCCAATTACTTTGCACTGTTTTTAAATTGTTCTGTTCAGAAGACATTAAGGGTACACACAATCAATCTGCATTGCCACAAAATATTAATGTGGTACTAATTATGGTTAGTAATTGACGGTTGTTACTGTTAAAAGTAGTTGTTTATTGATAATAACTGGAGTTTTCTTTGAAGGACAGGGAGATAAAGAGTTCCCTACCCAATTGTGTATTAAGTCTAGGAAAGTGGAGTTTTTTTCGAAATGCTTACCTGGAGACTTGATCTGAAATTCTGGTGACTGCATTAAATCTGGGTGCTGAATTTTCACAGTAAGGGACAGTCGGCTTTATTTAAATTGCCCAGTTTATGGATGTGTTTTGCAATGGCCACCAAATCCAACTTCCTGTCCCAGTAGGTGCTGTTCCTTGTTTGTCCTAGATTACAGACTGTAAGTCTGATCTACTATTTTCAGTGTGGTATTCTAACAACAATAATAAGTCAGATTTTGAATAGAAATGTAAGATTAAAATTCAGTTTAGTTTTGTTTTTATTTGCCTTACAGATAAGAGCATCTAAATTCTAGTATTTCGTAGGTTTTTGCTGCAACCATAATAGTAGCGACTTTATTTATTTATTTATTTATTTATTTATTTATCACATGAATCTAGGAGCTGGTACTTTCAGAATAAATCAGGGACTACTGTCAGGCTTACAGTAAGATCATAGGAGTTGGCAACACTACAGAGTTTGCTTTGTTTGAGCCAAAGTCCGGCTTAGAAATCTAGAGGGAATATCTCCAGGAAATAACACCTTGAGTTCCCACACAGTCGTCCTTGCTTGTTTGTAGGATTGTTGGATAAATCTTTCTAACACAAGGTTCTGTATAACCCAGCAAGGCTTCTTCTGGCTGCTGCTTCTGATCTCTTTCCCCTTCTTCCTCTCCCTTCTCTTTAAAATCTGCTATCTTTATACTGGAAAACAGTCATGTCAGGACCAGTGACACAGCCAAATTTCAAACCTTTGTAACAAACAACAATTTCTGAAACTTTGGAAAGCGGGCACATTTTTTACTCCAGCCGAGGCTTTTTCTCCTTTCATTCTCTCTTTCTCACTTATCTTCCCTCTTTTTAAAAATATCTTGCTGGTATCTACAGGAAGCTCTGAGACATGCTATGTAGTTGCAGACTGTCGTTATTGGCCCAGAGCCATCCTCTCTGCACTACCACAAGAAAAACACAAGGTTTAAACAGAGAAGTACTGTACAACTCCTCCTTCGCCGGTGACAACTCTACTTCGGCACTTCTTGGAGATTTAAAAAATAGTATGTATTGTGTTGCTTTACGTGTCAGGTGTGTAGTAGCTGGTTGTGGTTTGAGCAATCTAAGTAGTTCCCGGACCAGGTAGGTCATGGTCTGATAGTACTTTGGAGGTAGTGAGGATTTCAGGTGTTTGCTTTTCCTCTCTCTCCATTTTGAGTTGGCATCCTTCTCTGGGACGTGTTTCCACTGGTACCGGGCAAGTTGGTAAGTTTTCCGTTCTCCATGCAAACACTCTCCTTTCCCAAAGCCGGCAATTTCTTTTCCTTTCTTTCCTTTACTTGCCTCTATCTGATAGAAAATTGGAGCAAGTGAAACAGGGACCGAAGCTGGAGCACCCGTCCCAGGTTTTTCCGGGGAGCACGCTCAGCGCTGCGTGCTCCTGCTGAGGGTGGAGACCTGGTAATGAATGTTGCAAGCCGTGAACCTCATTGGTCAGCCCTTGCATTTTTAACCAGGGAAGGTATTTTCTTCTGCAAAACTTGGACTCCAGGATGAGACCAATGAAACTTTCTGTTCATTGGTATCTTCTCAATGTTTCTGTGGGAAGCTGTTGAAAAGGGGAGGATGAGAAAGAATTGACCCAGGATAGTTAAACCTTATAAGACAGGTTATCTCCTTTCCCTAGTTTCCCTAATTGCTGGCAATCTCTCTTTACAACTGCAGTTCAGATTTTTGTGCTGAATGGAAACAGATTTTCAGACTTTGAGAATGGTGGGGGTTTTATATACATTTTTGTTAATAATTCTTGAGTAAATATTTGCATTTTTGTTTTTGGCTCCTGCCTAACCAACTCGAACATGCGCTTGTATAAAATTACAGTTACTACAGAAATTGCTAATCTGTACAAAATGACTGTCTTTCACAATCAGGCAGTACAAAATGCATATGTGCAAAGCTTTTTTTCTGGAAGAAAATGTACTTTTGTACTTTTATCATCTCTCGATAAAACGCGAGGTTTGCACGTGAGATACGCTAGAGAGACATAGAAGGTGAAACTCAATGTACAAAGACAAATTAGCAAGAGCGTTTTCTCATGTGAACTGTTTCCTCATGAAAGTGATTGAACAACAGAATTATCAGTGTGCAAACAAGCTAAACACTTGTGAATACCCATTTGTCTTCTCTGTTGAATCCATCCATCCATCCCTGAATGCATCAATGCATTAAAGGGATAATTTGAAGGAGTTGGTGGACTGGACCATCCACTACCTCACTGCTTAATTATGTGCGACATAGGTGACTGCTGCTAAAAAGAGAGAGCTCTGAGTTGTTTGTAGATGGGTGCATTTGAGAAAGTTCTTCGCTTTCTGTAAACTCGTTTACAGAATTGAACACAGCTTTGCAACTTGTGCATGAAAAGAAATTGCTTTCTTGGTATGTGGAAGTGATTATTTGGTCAATTTGGCCTGTGCGAAGGTGAAGGTAGCAAACTGCGGTAGCAGCGGTCAGGGTAGGTGTTCTTCTGGTGTTCGGGGACGGTGCTTGCATGTAACCTGTTCCCAAATTTTGAGGCTTTTGAAGTCACTGAGGGTCCTTTAAGTCTTGAGTTCTGCAGGCTGCTTTGTGGGTGCCTACCTGGAGACTCTCATAAGTATACTTGAAGCTGATGGGAAAGAAGGCTGTTGCAATCAGTTCTTTAATCTTGCTGATGTTGTCCTCGTGAACGGGGGAGTATAGTTTTTGTGATGACTGCTGCTTTGTGTTCTGCAAGTGGCCCCCCGAGTGCAGTGATTTCTCATATGCAACAACTGAAAAGAAAAATACTCTAGACAGAAATGTCTGTGTTTCCTTGAAAAAGGAAGGCCATTTATTTAGTCACTTTGCACTTGTAATGGCTCAGTTGACTTCAGTGCCTGGGTTTAAGCCAATTGCCAAAGAGACTATACACTTCCTTCTCTTTCTGTATAGCAATATCGATTCTGTCTAAAACGAGAGTAATTCTGTTGAAGTCAATTGGGTTACATTGTGGCGAATGGTAGTAGAGGTAGGTCCACTTTGTCTGAATTTGCTTTGTGTGCGCTGTAGATGAGTCAAAATGAGTTACAGAAGAGGAAGGGATATCCTACTAGGGCAGAGTGACAGCAGCCACTGCTGCTGCTGCGATTATCTGCACAGTTTTCTCTCTCTGACAGTTGCTCCACCCTGCTCTGCCTATTTTGATATCTTCTGATCATTACTACTTTGCTTTCTGTTCTTTCTAAATTGCACAGGTTCCCAGGGAGGTATCCCAATGGGTTTGCCTGAGCCATGCTGGATGCTTGGCCTTTTGCTGCTTTTAATGTAATAAACCAAGATGACAAAGACACCTAAATCAGTGTAGTTTTGCTTGACTGACTGTATATGCTTTCTATATACATACCTTTTCAAATATCCTTGATCGTTTGCATACAATCACAGCTCCGCCCCAGGCCCTTCTAGGGTAATCTGTGGCTGTGCTGCAAAGGGAGATTTCAGGAAGCCTGTTGTGACTCAGAGCTCGTGGTCATGAAGGGGAAGGGGCATGTTCTTAGCTCAGGCTAAGGAAGACAAGGGCTTTTGCATTTCTAATGCACACGAACAGGTCGGCGTGAACCCCAGTTCCCTTAACTTTACCTGAGCATGTATGAAAAGGAGCAACTGCTTCGTCTTTGTGAGACAAACCATTTCAAGAGCCAGTTCTGCCTCCTCCTCAATGCCGGAGGTTTCTGCTGAGAGATGGGGTGCTGCGTGAGCCAGGCTGTCTTTGATGTAAAACGGATTTTTTGTTTCCCCAAGCGATTCTGATTCAGAGTGAAATCTGTAAACCTGAAACTTTAGGTGAACACCCTGATAAGATAAATGTTTCTTCAACCCCTTAAAGTGACGACACAGGCTCTGCAAAGGTTGGTGAGACTAACCACGTGAACAGAATTACTGCTTGGAGTTGCAAGTTTATGCAAAATCAAGGTCTGACATTTGAATAGAGCTGACTGAATAGAAATTTCTATTGAATAGAAGTAACTGCTGAGTTATTTTTTCATTCTGATCTCCAACAGCACCCTTATTCCCTTCCTTTTCTTTTGATTGGTAGAAAGAAAATCCATAATATTGCTGCAGAAGAACAACGGTCTCTCAGTAGTGAGAATGTCTTGCATAAGGCTGTCAGTATGGAAGTAGTTTCACAGGACAAGCAAAATTAATTTCAGAAGTGGAAAAAAAATTGCTGCTATTTGGTGGCTGTTGGGTGTGCTTTGTGAAACAGCGTGCTGGTTTCAGTGTAGAAGTTTGTGGTAGCAACTTTATCATAAAAACTGTTGTTCCTTGTGGCTTTTTCTCTAGTCTTTTTTAGGTGTCTGTTGTTCCATGACAGTTGCTTTGGTGATCTTCACCTGCAATAAACTTAAATTTAAAAAGCAACTATCTTGCCCTTTGTTGCTAGTCATTCATATATTCTTACAGTCTGGGAGGAAAAAAACAAGACTTTCCTACCTGAGGCTGTGTAAGACTTGGAAGGACCACGTCAAGTGGAGCTTGTGGCTGGCTTTAGCTCTGAATCAAATTCATTTTCAAGGCTGAGAAGCATCTGTGTGCATTGGTCTGTCTGGCCCTGGAGCCAGTGCTCTGCTTTGCTTGGGCCATTGATTAGATGACTGTCCAGAGTGAGGAACAGCGTATGTCCTGCAACGGAGCATTGCTCCTCACTTCCAGATTAACCTGGCTGTGTTTTATTTCAGAGAGGAAGCTAGAGAGCCGGATTCCTGGAGTACTTTGTCTCACACGGTGCACTCGGGGGACTACTGCGTGAAACACCACCGGGGGCTGGATGTCTACATGCTAACAGCCGAAACCAAGGAAGGGGGAAAGGCCAGCTTGGAGGATGACATACGGCAGCTTCAGAAACACATGCAGAGCCACCGGCACATGGTAAGGAAAAGGAGCAGATGATTAAATAGAAGCATAACTGGGGTGTTTGCTGCTGGTTTTTGGAGCAGCCTGGTGCCTCATAAGGACTTACCCACATAGGCACTCTTCAGGGGTATATTTACAAATGAGCCTAGACTTTCTCTCTGGATGTCGTTATCAAGTATCCAGGCAGGCATGTGTCTGTCTGCTTCTTGTTTGGGGACAGAGATGGATCTGGTGAAGTTACATTAGAAAACAAATTTTCTCTCTGGGAAGAGAAGCAGGGTCAGGGCTCTGGCAGCAAAAGCCAAGCCAGCTCTGTGCCAGCTCGTGGGACCCCTCTGTGCTCCCAGCTCCTGCCAGGTCCCTGAGACCAGCACCTGCTTAACGGAGGGTCTCATCAGAAGTGCAGAGAAACCTTCCCGAAGGCACGTGTCCCTCTGAGGCAGCTGGGAAGCAAAAGGTGTGGGATTTAAATAACGGACATTTTGTCTGACAATGAAATCAGAAAAGGCTATGTTTAGTTGTTTTTTTTTTTTCTTTCTTTCCAGCACTGTTTCACTTCATATCTAATGTAATTTGAATTTGGAAAGCAGCCCTATAATTAGTTCATTTAAGTTCATTTAGGGTCAGTTAAAAACCAGTTGGCTTCCTCTGGAAAAGGCTCTATTTTTCAGGCTCTCGGCAGAGTGACTTCACCGTGAAGATGTCAGGGCTCCCGCCGCCCCTCCTTTCGCCTGTTCCCGAACAAGTGTCACTTTTGTCTGTTTCTGTCCACGCTGGCTGGGAACCAGTCGAGCAGTCTCCATGCTGGGCTGCAGGGGTTATAGCCACCAGAGTGCTGATGCGCTGTCCAAGCTGGTTCATTTGCGCGCACAAAAGGCAGGTCCAGCCCTGCCTTTCAGTGGAAAGAACAGTAAAAGCAATATCTGTAAAGTAGCAGTGATAATTTTAACCGTAGTTTGTATAAGCAATAGCCAAAGGTTCCCTGTGATGCATCAATTAGAATATCAGTGCTGTGTAAGTCAAGGAGAAAAGGGTTGTTTAATTGGACATTTTTGGTGTGAAATTTCATTTCTCTGAGAAATTTCAGAGGCTTAAACAAAATTTGGAGGGGGCTGCTTAAGTTCAACTGCTAAGTTATATGTATTGTTTGAATATGTCTATGAATAAATACGAAAGATAACAGATTTGAAATAGATCCTCAGAGCATTAATACTGTATTTCCAGTGATTCATAGGAACTGCTCACCTATTGAATGAGAAACCAGGGTGACCTCAAAAAGCTTGCAATGTAAAACCCTGAGCCAAGGTTTCATTGTATTAATCCAGCTATAAAGCTTGGGGGATCCTTGACGTGCACTGGAACGAAAATGCAGATTAGACAGGAATTGAATGCGCTGCTACTGTTCCACGGTATTGCACATATTAATTTTAACAGTATGCCATCATTTTCAAATTTATATTTCCATTTAGGAGGTAAGTTCCAGATTTTTAATTATGTATGCCTTTCCCAGCAACAGATTAGATCATTAGTTCAGTGCTAGAACGAGGAGACAAGTGACTGCGTTAGGGCAGCTTGGTCAGAGTCGATCACAATCGGCCAGTTCCAATGTTTGACGCAGAATTTCCACCAGGATAGCAAAACTGAGCAACGCGGAGCAGAACTGTGGAGTGCAATTGGGCAGGGATCCGGAGTGGCTCTTGAGGAGCATTTGCTCAAGCCCTTTGGGACTAGACTGGTATATATTTGCATGATTTGATAGATTGAGTTGTACTGTTTACAGAGCTTGAGTTTAAGTGGACTCGTGAAATATGACTACAGCTGCTGGAAGGGGAATTACAAAGATGACAGAGCCAGACTCTTCTCAGTAGGGGCACATGGTCTAATAAGGAGCTAGAGGCACAAATTTCAGCTTGGGATGGGGATTCGGATTCACTAAGAGGGTGGTGCAGCCCTGGAACAGATTACCCAGAGAATGGTGGAAACGCCATCATTAGAGGTTTTCAAGACATGACAAGACAGAGTCATGGCTGACCTGATCTAGTGCTAGTAATAGTCCAGCTTCAGGCAGGAGGCTGGACTAGATGACCTCCGGATGCTCCTTCCAACCAACGTTTCTGTCATTCTGGTAATTTCAATATTACTGCGTAATGAGACCAAAAGTTAAAGTGACTGCTACTGTACGTTTGTAACTCTGTCTGAAGTGGCTGTGTACACCGGGCAGAGTTACAGGAGGGCAGCAGTCATGTTAAATATGTTTTAGATTATTTTGATACAGATTTTGTGCACAGCAGTCACGCTGTAAATGTGTGACAGAGCAAAACTTATGACAGAGTCATAATTTCTTTTTTTTTTTTTTGTTTGTCTTGTTACAGAATTTAAGGAAGCAGACAGAATCTGTGCTAAGAGATTCTGGGAATAGCTGCAGTAGAGGAACAGAGCCCGATGGTCACCCAGCCACTACCTCTCAGAGGCTAGAAGAAATGGCAAGAGAAGGAGGGAAGGAAAGCCCATCTGATCTTATTCACCTTGACAGCAGGCAGCTCTTGGACCAAACCCACCAGGAGGACAAATGCAACAGCAAGAGTTTGGGAGCTGTCAATGACGCACCAAAGGACTTACAGAGCCTGGGGGATGCAAAGAACACAGAGCGCTCCTGTGAAAGTAAAAATACAGTGATGTTGAGTAAAAAGGAAGAGGAGGAGCCAGCCTCTGTTACAGGCTCTGGGACTGTATCGGACAAAAACGACTGCACACTCAGCCTGTGTGTAGACGTAAACGGTGCTGTAAGTCTTCCATCCTGTGGAAATACAAATGAGGAAGCTGGAATGACATCTGCTGGAGCTGTTTTGGATCCCACCAACTTGTGCAGTAAAGATAGTACCCATCAGGAAGTGCAAGTTGCTGAAGAGCGTGCAGTTGAAAGTGCTGTTACAGTGGCTGAAACGGCAGGCAAAACGCCAGCTTCCCCGGTGGCCGTGGATGTGGCTATGGGCCAAACTGAATGCAGGAACTGTGCAGGGACAGCTGATAGGGCTCCAGGCCCGCAGCAGGTAGAGGATGGGATGGCTGAGACCAGTGAAATGAAGACTGCAACACTGAAAGAGCAATCACCAGCTAAGGAAGAGTCAGCCAGTGCTGCTCAGCCCTTGCTCTGTGGTTTTAATGGCACTGACTGTGCAGATGAGGAGGATGCAACTGTGCAAGCGATGCCAACATGTGACGATACCAATGGAGATGTTAGCACTGATGATCTCTCCGTTGGCTTTTGCAAGACCAGTGATAAGAGAGAGCCCGGAGCAGACTCGTGCACTGATCAGGTAAACAACAGCTTCTTAGAAAACCAAGACAATCCCCTTGTCAAGGACAGGCAGGACATCACTGCGAACACTGGGGCAGTGTTGCCAGCAGTGAATGGGGCGAAGACTCCAGCGTGTGCACCAAAACACGATCCCGTTTTGGAAATCCATGACAGCATTAAGAATGGGGAGCAAGAATTGCAGGTAGAAGGTGGTAGCACGGATGCAAAATCTAGCTCGCTGTGGCTGGGAGACAGTGTGGAAACTGATGGTCCCAATGCTAAACCTGAAAATGATGAAGTTGATAGACCTGATCAAAGCAATGCGGAACTGGTATGTTGCCAGGAAAGCAGTAAGATCACTGAATTTGCAAATGCAGCGATGGAGAGCGTTGAAGCCCATGAAGAACAGGCAGTAGGAACTGATACCAGCAGCAGTGGAGATGAAGGAAGGACTGATTCTGCAAATGGAGGTCAGGAAATCACTAGCTCTTGCCCTTCTGTCGATGAAACTAGTGTTAAAGATGAAATGGGTGACAGCTTAAAATTAGACACTGCTCAAGAGAGCAAACATGAGCCTGGATCACTCCCTCCAGAGGATGCGAGCTCACGCCTGCCAGAAAAAGAGCCACCACAAGATGAAGCAGAAATAGCAGGAAGCGCTCCTGAACAGGAGGGGCTCAGCGAGGAGGTGAAGTCGCTCTCTCCTTTACCTGGAGGAGAGGGGCCATCTGCTAGTCAGGAGGGAGCTGCTGCAGTGGCACCTCTCGGGCAGGAGACAGCTCTGCAAGGTAATGACCCTGAAGTATCTCCGTGTGCCAAGGGTGCAGACCGTATACAGGATAATTTAATGGGCACACCCTCTGTAATTCATAATGAAGACTCTAAACAAAACCAGGAAGTGGCAGCAGCAGCAGGCTCAGCAGGGCTGCCGGAGCATGGCAACGCTGCCGCGCAAGCAGGCTTGCCCGTAGAGCATGCGGGGGAAGAGGGCTCTTGGGAGCAGAGCCTCTCCCAGCAGGCTGAAGGAAACGAAGCCCAGCCTAACCAGGAGGCTTGTGAAAGTGACAGGGAGAAGGTTTTGTCGGAGGAACTTGCTGCTGCTGTTGTGAAAGCTGCCAGCAGCCATGAGGTGTCTGCAGCAGTTAGCAGCGCTGCAGACGCTGGGCTGACAGAGAAGGTCCTCAGTGAGGAAGCATGTGAGACCGTGACAGTGGAGGCAGAAGTCATTGTGCAAGACCCTGAATCAGAAGACAAGTCAGCAGATGCAGTGGACAATCCTTGTCCGGATGCAGGGCCAAACCAAGAATGTCAACCCCATCAAGGTCTGCAAGGAGCCTCTCTGCACAGCATCACCCCAGAGCTAAAGGACCCGTTGGAAATGGAGGCACCAGCAGCTGCCTGTGAGGATAAGGAGGTGTTAAGGGTAGCGGCAATCACCCCTGTAGCAATGTATCCGGAAGAGCAGGAGAATATGGACAGCGTGCTTCCCAGAGCGACCCTTCAGCCAATTGCCGAAGAGCCCACGTGTGACAGTGACTCCAGCACAGACACTGTCTGCCTGGCCAGCGAGAGCGAAGCTGGTCCTGATGCAAAGGCAGCTCAGGGGGAGGTCTTGGCTGAGCCTGAAGAATGCAAAGCGAAGCAAAGCCAAGCCGTATTGGAATCGACCTTCTCGCAGGGTTCGTGCCGTTTAAATGCTGTTGAGTCACTGGAGAATGTGGGAGTAAAGAGTTTGGTTTCGGCAGATGATGGCTTTTCTCTGGATAAAGTTCCTAAAATGGTAAAAAGTTTTGATGCAGTAGTTTTTGCATCGGAGACACCTTGTTCCCCTGAATTACCAGAAAGTGCGGGGCTTGAACCCTGGCCTGCAGTGGATACAGCAACCAGCCTTAATGGAGAAACGGATTTAAGCTCCCCAGCAAAGAGGAGGAACATCAGCCCGGGAGCACAAGGATCTGAGCCTGGTACAGGTATGAAAAGTAAAATCAGCTAGTTTTCTAAAGCGTCGTAGGTATGCTTGTGTTTCATCAGGAAAGGAAGTAAGAGGCCTGCTTTGTAGAGGAAGTGTAGGGTTATTTTTCTGAGAAAGAAGAAATCTGAAGTTAGAGAATAAAAACCTCAATTTAAATGCATGTTTTTTGGCTGGCATTGGAGGTAAGAAAAGGACATCATCACATATGAATCTGTGCAGAAGAATTTTTAGCATGTGAATTCTTTCTGGAGAAGGAACAAATGGGAGGCAGATACTTAGCCAGCTGTATCTTCAAGTAACATGCTTTCCTTTGGGCGTTAGGGTTTATTTGCTTAGTGCTAATTTGAGCTTTTCCTTGAGTTTTACCCTTTTTTTTTGCTAACTTGCAGTCAGAGGATATTATTCATTAGTGCCATCTTAAAGTTTCTTTTCCAGCCTGCTCAAACAGCTGTTAGTGTCCTTCTGAACTGTGCACAGTCACTTCCTAGTTGGTAGTATTAGGTCATTTAAAAAAGCGAGCAAGCCCTATCCCGACTCCCTTTTCCTGTCTGTAAAGCTTTTGTCCGGCAACGCAGCAGTGTTGTTTTCCAGTGCATTTAAGCAGTACTGGCCCTCAGATGATCGCTTTTGCTTTCCTTGCTGCAATCAGCTGCGAAGCGGGATCAGCGAGCACCTCGGCTGAATGGTGATGTGGGGGATAAGTGACTCTTTTGGGACAGCTTAGACTTGGTGCCGGTGCAACATGAGCTAATAGAAAACGTCATCAGGTAACTCAAAAAAAAAAAAAAAAGGAGGGGGGAAACAAAGGGATAAACTGAGTGAAAAAGCAATGATTTTGTCTCTCTAGCCTGGAATTAAATCATAGGTGAATTTGCTGCTGTAGCATGGAGCTAATCTGATCTTTATATTCCACCTGTTCAGGCAGCTGTTAAATGTTAAGCAGCTGGATTTTTTCCCTTGCCATTATTTTCTTTGCTATGAGAAAATTATACAGTGCCTCTTCTTCCTTTTTCACCACAGAGCAAGCAAACAAGCAAAGAAAGTTAGGAAAGATTTGAAAAATCTGCCGTGATTTAAATCATGAAGTTCTAAAGTTGTAAAGATACTTCACTGCTTCATGCTGGGAACTTTTTTCTCAATTTAAATGCAGAATACAGTCCTGGCAGATGATTTATTCTGATATTTGATAGCAGAGTAACTGGGGTGACAGGGAAAGGATTGATTATTTGGGGGTTGCTGATGGCTCCAGCAAATGCTCTTTTGCCTTGAGTTCAGGACTTTTAAGAAGTTTATTAGTCAGGAGATAATTAGTGAACACGTGACATGCTTTAAATGTGGATTGTAAAGCTGTTTTTAAAAAGAAAGCTATTTTTGCACTCTGGCGGATTGACGTTTCAATAGAAGGGGAGTGGCTGTAAGTCAATACCTGGGAGTGTGAATTTCTGCTGGGAACCTCTTGCTTTTTGCCTGCTGTTCTGCAGGCTTGGGAGTTACAGGTCGGTCTCCCTAGTTGGATTCTTGGGGCTGTGATGTTATGCAGAGAAGTGTTTTAAGAGAAGGGACTAGACAGTCCAACAAGATAGTAACTACAGGAGAAAAAAATACCTTTCTAATATTAAGGCATCCTTCTGTGCTAGGGTTTTAGAAAGGAGAAGGAGAAGGTGATCCTCTTACAGATTTGAAATGCATAAAGATTTAGTGTTAAAAGATCTTGGAATTCAACAGTCTCTTTTCTCCATAAGAAGAATTGTTTATTTGCAATATGATGCTACACAAAGAAAAATCTCAGCTAGAATGCCTTCTCCTGAGCAATCCTAGTGTTGATCTAAGGCATAAGGTTATGGAATCCTCCCAAAATATTAGCTGAAAGCAAAGACAAATGCCTCCAGTGAATCCAAGCTTACTTTTTGATATATTTACAAAATTTGCCTCCTATAGAGTGGAAGCTGGAGCTTTGATATGGCAGTAATTCAAGACAAGAAACTTGTTGCTTTTTTTTTATTATTATTATTATTATTACAGTGTATATTCTTCATGTCGATACCAGCTCAGCTTTGTGACGCACACTTTGTGTGCCGCTTCTGCTGCACCCAAGCCACTCCAGCCCTATGCGCAAGTTCTCCTTTTGTTGCTGTTTCAGTGTTGGAAAAACAGTCCAGGATTTATTTACAGTGTTTATTTTATGGCTATGCAGAAGTAGTTTCTGCTCGGTAGAATGAATCAAATCTTTTTCTGATAGCCTACAATAAAGTCTTTCCAAAGGCATTGTAGGCCATGAGGCCATTTCTCAGAAACGTGTGGTCAGAGGTTTTTTATTGTCCTGGTAAATTGTCAGAGATGTAGTCAAATGATATTGCTGTTGCCTGTACTCCAAATTATTGGGATCTTTGTTTTTAATTTATGAGATGAAATTGCTCCTAAATATGTCCCTGTTTATCTCATCACCTTTTATTAGATTCAGCCTACCCCAAAAATAGAGACCTCAAAGGGCCAATTGTCTTTTCCTGATAGATATCTCTAATGAGCGTTCACCAAATTGAAGGAAGTTGATGAGATGAGAAGCCCTTACTTTTCATAAGGCAGCTTCTCATGTTATAAGCTTTTGAGTCAGAGCTGCATTGCATCTGAGTAATGGATTCTTGAAGCACATTACTTGCAAGTCAGGCAAGTGTCTACTATTCATTTGAAAACCAAGCAGTTAGGATATGAAAGCACACCACAATAGCCAAGCTGGGCAAGAGGAGAGGAAACAGTGCATGTCTGAGCATTATAGCTGTGCTGACAAAACACCTCCAGGTAGATGCAACTTCTTGGCAGGAAATGACTCTGGCAAGATTAGGTTATATGGTTGAGATTGGACATCTTAAATTAACAAATACTGTGATCACTGTTTGCAAGCTCTCCTTCTAGGAGAATTTTCCTTAATGTCTCTTCTCAAAGGTCTCAGTCTTTAAAGACATTCATTGCCAGAAGTGTATCACCTTATTTTGAATTTTCTCGATCTTCATCTCATTCTTATCAATGGTGTTTTCCCTATGGCTGCATCGAAAAGCACTTACTACAATTTTCACCCCCTTGTAGAGTAGCAGGATGAATCGATAACAAATGGCACTAACAACGTGATAATGCATTTTATGCCTCAAAGGCCTCTGTGATACTATTAAAATACCAGCTTATTGCTTGGGATTATGTGTTTGTAGTGGAAGTTTGGAAAGAAATGCAACAATTTGCGTTCCGTTGGCAAAATGCAACAATTGCCCTCTTGGATTTCATCCTGAGGGTGATATGGAAGTCAAAACACAGATTTGCTTGTGTTAAGCCTCAGCACACAAACAGTGTGTTTCTGGTGTTTGAAACTCTTGATTTTTATCTAGCCTGACAATAAAATGAAGGTCTGATCTTGCTGGAATTGAGCTGATGAAATGTTAACTGATGACCTTAAGAGGAGCAGTGTTCTTGACACTCTGTACAGGACATCAGAATGCTACAAGCATTGGTCATGTTATCTTTTCAAATCTAGTACAAGGGAGGGGAGCATAATTAGCATTTCTCCTTTTCGAATGGGGAACCAGAGACGCTTGACTGTTTTAGTAATGTATTCACATGCTCAGAGGAAATCTGAAGCAGAACCAGGAATGTTCTGATTTTCTTCTGATACCTAGGGCTGTATTTTAGCAAATGGCTTGTTTCTCCAGCTGTTATGCATCGTCGAGTATCTTCATACTGCTTGCTTCTTGCATCCTCAGTACGCCAGTACGCCTTAATATGTTCTATCTTTTGGACCAGTTCTGAACAATCATGGCACGCTTCTCCCTGTGAGAAATGCCCATGAGAAAGGGTAAGGCCTCCCTTCTGGGCCTTAACAACAAGGCCTGTGCTGCAACCCTGAGCCATTCTCATCGTGGCCTCGATCACTGCTTTGCCAGCAAACGCGCTTTGCAGAAATCTGTACTGTTAACTCTGATTTCTGAGAGTCTGCCACTGGTAACACACAAACTCATCTAACTGAGACAAAATTATGACAATTTGACTTAATAATTTTGGTTTAGTTTGTCAGTAGTACACAGCAAAACCAACTATCTGTGAGGCCCAAAAGTCAACAGTAGACTCCAACGCTAGTGGAAAACTCTTGGTGACACTTGTTGCAGCAATTTCTCTTGGAGGTAGAACACTCTTACTGCAAAATCACCTCTGCGTATGGATAAACTCACTCAGTGCAAATGTGTATCTTCCGTAAATGGTTTTGTTGTCGTTCATTCAGTGTTTAGTTTTAGTAGAAATGAGAGCGCGAGTGTGATTAGGGTGAGCTTTTAACCCTAACACAACTACACTCACACAGCATGACCTTGCTCAAATCCCTTAATTCCTCTACAGGTTAGTGTATGTATCCATAGCATGGCTATAGCACTGACATAAGCCCCTGGGGAAAAGTAATGATATGTGCTTTACCGTCTGCAAAGCAGTTTGCTATCCTGACATTGAAACATCTTTTGCTCTACGTTAATTCCTGGTGTTCACAGGTGACATGAGTCATTAGCTAAGGGAAAAAAGAGCATTATGACTTTGACTTTTATGCCAAGGAAACGTAGACAGAAAGGAAACCCCACTGAAGGGTGACTAGTGCGATCTTTCACGTCTTTGCTGGGCAGAGGGAACAGCTGGGACGTGATGTTCGTACCATCGCAGTGGTGACAGCATCATGGGGGCATGAGGAAGGGGGAAACCAGTTGTAAACTCCCCAGAGAAAGGTTTGTCTTCCTAGTCCAGGGAGCAAATCATCTTCTCTAGGGCAGTGCAGAAGAGCCAATTTTTTGAAGCTGGTTGTATATTGAACACTTGAACCATCAATCGGGAAGACAAGTCTTGTTTCTTGTGTTGTCTTCAAGTTATGGTAAGAAGAAAAAGGCAAGAATGTTGATTCTGCAACTCGACTACTGTGAGCCAGGTAAAAAACATGGGCAAATACCTACAGATAAACTCAGCTTCACCTAAAGCCTTTTAGTTGCGTTTTTGCCTGTGCTTGCTCCTGTTTCATAGTTTCCTTCGGTCCCAGACACGATAGTTGTTAAAACTAATAACAAATGAGCAGCAAAGTCGGGACTGAAACCAGATGTTGGAAGTAAAATGGACTTGTTGAAGGCCAGGGTGGGGTTTTTTTGTTTTCTTTTGTTTTGTTTTTGAGACTAGTTTGAATAAACAGAAAAATAGCAGCAGCACTGAAAGAAGTTTGTTTTAAATTGCCTGTGCAAACCCTCTGTTTTTACAGGGAAGTTGGAAATGAAAACTGAAGATGAGGTGGATTTTATGAAAGAGCACAAAGAGAGCACGGCCTGTGAGGGAGCGGTAAGTGTCCTTTCTGCGTTGTTTCCTTGTATTTTGCTGTGTTTTTTAAAGAACCGTCAGCCCTGCCGTGGATGGCCAACCTAAACGGCTGATTTCCTTTCTGTACTCTGTGCAAGGCTAAACTTAGTTTTTCATTGTGACTTTTTAATTTAGCCTCTTGAAAATAGCATGAACTTTCTTTTTAGACCTTTCATTTTCAAAACGCTCTGGCTTAAGCCATATTTAGGTTGTCTCCGTCGGTGCGATATAGCTTGACCCGCAGGTTCCTCCTGCGGCGGCGTTGTTCAAAGATCGGTAGGAATAAGATTATCTTGGCTCTTTACTGCATCCCTGAGACTCCGAGCTCAGGCGAGAGCGATGCCGGAGCGAGCCTGGCCGCCGTGCGCGGCTCCGCTCCCGGCAAGTTGCTTCGTCCCTCCTCGGGCTTTGTCTGTCGGGCGAGTTTTCCGAAGCTGGGCCCGGGGCTGTGTTGGGGTGTGCAGAGCAGAGCCCCGGTTTCCGCCGCCCGAAGGCCTCGCTGTCTGCCGGCGTACGGTGCTTTCCCGGAATAGAAATGCACGGTGAAAAGACATGCGGGGATCAAACAGGAGGGATCAAACCCCACCTGCCTGACATAGGTGACGCTAGAGAAAGGCCGTGCAAGAGATCTGAACTGCGTGGGCTGCGTTTTATGTTACCACTTCCCATGGCCCCGGTGCCTTGCCGTTTTTAAGGACCGTCTGCAGTAACAAATGAGGGTGTTGGGCTTGACAGGAATGTAACTTTGACTTAAGAATATATATCCTGCTTCATCAGCAGCTGGATTTGTAGGTCTTACCTTTCTCAGTTGGATTTGCATTTGCTCCTAGATGTTATACATAGTTTCTTGTTCCTGAAAAAGAAAACGTTTTGCAAATGCTAAATTGCTAGAAGCCTGCGTTGGTGCACGTTGCCACTGAGCAGCTGTGTTTGTGCGTTAGCTTGCAATTACGAAGCTGTTAAAAGAGAAAATATTGTGGAGATGAGTTAACATTACAGGGTGGAGCACCAAAAACTTTGCTTATCCCACAGTAAAGCTCTTTAGGCAGCAGAACAGTCCTGCCAAAGCTTGTAATAAAATCAGGTTAATTTTGTTTTTAACAAGTTAAGGCTTAATTTCTGTAGCTGTTAGCTCAGTGAGTTAACCAGGGAATAGAGCTAATAACTTTCCAAGCTAAAAGTTGTCCTGATAAAGAGGTCTTTCGTATTGCAGTGCTTGAATGTAAGGGTGCTAATTTTTTTTTTTGTCTTACCCTTTATTATAGATAATTTTCCTGGCTAATACTTAGATATCTGGTAGTAAAGCAAGACGAATTTAGAAAATGCAAATAGGAACCCTGCCTGTATTTTATTTCAAACTGCTCTCCTCTCAAATAAGGAAAAAGGAGAAGGTATTGAACTTAGCTTCCATTTTGCGTGTTTTACATGCATTTGGATTTTTGTCTGTGGGTGTTCTCTTCTCTTCTTTCCTCCTCGTCCCTCCCCCCTCGCCCAACACCTCTTTAGAAATCTGGCTTTTCTGGTGCAGGAATGGGAGTGTCAGGGGAATGGAAAGTTTGCTGCAGGAGTGACAGGGTTTCCCGTTGCTAAGTTCAACAGAAACAAAATAACAACTGCTCTATATTAAGGTCATTTAAAAAAATCAGTCGAAGACTTATAAATAGAGCTTAATTCACACGTGTAGGTTGAGGAGGGAGCCGGCCAGGGAAAGCAAGCATGAGCTGCATGTCTCCTGCCTTGTCCTTCGTCTCTGCTTTATTTAGTACTGACTTTTTGTAGCCAGCAGTCTTTCAGGTGCTCGTTTCCTTCTCATTAGTGAGCAGATTTGTGGTTAGTAAAAGCCGTTCCCTTAACTCCTTGCAAATAGAGATGTTGCACCTCGTCCAGAACTGCCGCGTATTCAGTGGTCGGACCTAGCGCTGTCAGGGAGCCCAGGTTAAAGGAGTTTGGGAACTACATTAACTCTTGTTTCATAGGGGAGAGTTTTGCACAGTATTATTTATAAACATGCAGTGCGGAAAGCAGTTTATATACACAGACTAGAAAACAAGTTTTGGAGAAAGAGAATCTTGTTTTTTTGAATCAGGCTGAATAACAGTAAGACATTGGAAAGTGAAGGGGAAAAAGCCCTCTTATGAATTAGTTTCTTAACACAGGAAATTATCTGGATTCTTGATGCCAAGACACATACTCGAGTGTTCCATGTATAAGATACACATGCTTTCCCCTATAGTCATTTCAGAAGACAATGCCTGAGAGAGGCACTTGTGCATGTCATGGAAAAGTTGCAGCTGAAAAGTGTTGAGGAAAATAATGGTTTGCAGGGTTATAAACACTGAAAAGAAAATAGTGGAAAAATGATTTTTCCTATTAAAATGTTTGTTTGTTTTTTAAGTGGCTATTTCTTAAATCTCCAGAAGGTTTTCTCTGAGGTTGCATTTATTCTGTTTTAGAAATTCCTTAACAAGAGTTGCCCAAGTTCCTCTCATGTTCCGTGGCAGGTGCTGTAAGTGTCCATTCTGCCTGGGGCTCCGCTAGTTCTCATCTTGCTGGTTCGTTTGGTGATGCTGAGTGGATGTGAGGCAATAACTTGATGTGATCAATTAAAATTAAACATTAGCATTTTTTCAATTGAGTACTTTTACGTTCTTAACTCTAATGAGAAGTCTGCTTTGGCTTCCACCTACTGTGATATTAAAATAATTTAGGAATGGAGCATAGTGGCTCGAGTACTATCTTCACATAGATTGAAGCTCAAATAATATGATTTGCACTTTCATCTGTTCACTGATCCAGCTACCGCAGTAATATGTGATATGTCAGCAGTGCTGCGTTCTGGGGAAAAACTTCTTGTTTTGTTCAGTATTTTCAATAATGGTTTGGAAATGGGAGTACATGTGTAATGTCTGCAGATGACATAAGGTTGGGAGGGGCTGCAGGGCTTGGGAGAATAGGGTAAGAATGCAAAATGACCATAACGAATTGGAGACTCTGTCCAGATAAGAGATGAAGACAATTACAAGGTGATTCATTTGCAAAAAAGAAGTCAAAATGCACATTTGCTAAGTCAGGATTACTGAGTTGGAAAGCAAAGGAGAGAAAGAGACCTAGTGTTTTTAGTGGAGCATAAATTAAACATGAATCATCAGTGAGAGGCTATTGCAAAAGAGACGCATCTTGTTTAGGGTTTTGTTAAAGGAGTGTCAGCTGTAAGACCCAGGAGGCAACTGGCACTGCTGAGGCCTCATCAGTGTCAGCAAATCAGCCTTTGAGTGTCCTGCTCTAAGGAGGGTACAGGCATCCTGGAAGTAAACAAGATAGAAGAGATTAAGAAATGTGAGAAAAGGTTGAAAGAATTAAATTTATTCAGTGTAATGAAAAGAAAACTATTGTGCAATGTAGCATTCTTCCAGTACGTAAGCATCATAAAAGTCCTAGATTTCTGAGGCAGCTTAATTTACTGATTTGCTAATTTGCCAGCGTGATTTAGATTGGATGTTAAGAAAACTTCCTGTTATCATCATGAAACCAAGGGGAGACCACCAAGGAAGGATATGAAACCTCCTTCCCTGGAAGTTGTTAAGACAGATGGCAGCTGTCAGAGGCAGTGCCCTAGGTCTGTTGTTATCCCTTGTTTTTGACTTGTAAGTCCCGACATTGTTAAGGTTTTTTTTCTTTCCTTCTCCTGCAAGGGTTCCTGTGTGTTTCACATGCACACACTGCGTGTGCATGAGCTTGCTTTTCTTCATTGCCTCTTTCTTCATTGCCATTCCAGACTGTCGGAGAGTAACCTACAGCCAAGACTGAAAGCTATGAGTATGTTCCCTAGGTAGCAACAGTAGGCCAACCAATCGCTTGTGGTGCTTTCTAGCCCTACCTCTTTCTGCTACAGGAAACTTCTGTGCCTAGGTGGGATTTTTTTTACAGCTGCAGCCTACAAAGAGCTTCTGTGAAGGGTCTGGCCCCGGGCTGCAGGAGCTAAGAGGGTTTTCCCTGAGGCTGCACCTCTCTGTGGCAGGGGCTCTGCAAGAGCTGCCATGTGGGGCACTTGAGAGTAACAGGGTTATGTCGTCCTGCTTCCAGGGCCAATTTCTCTGTTCCTCCCAACACAGAGAAGAGGAAGAAGCTGCTTGGCAAGCCCTTTTGGGTGCACGGAGGTAGTTGGAAGCATGGAGGGTTGGAGGAGGAAGGGGACAGGGGCAGCAGAAGCAAAGGAGAGCAAGACAGGAGGGAATAGCTTCTGTAGGCAATGGAGATAAGAATAGGGAAATGGGCTGCATTGGGTGGAAAAGGGCTTATGGGAGAGAGGAGAGAGTCACACAGCAGTGAGGTAGGTGTGTTGGGATGGAGAGTAGATGAGAAGGCTGGAAGGATCCAGAGATTTGCCATTCCCCATGAGTAAAGTCTTTCATCTCTCTTTTCCCTTGGGTCAGCAGATAAGTGGTGGCAATTTGGGACAAGGTGTACAGTGTCACCTCATCTAGTGGCTGGTTCCTGGAGATGAGAAGAGCCTTTTATTGATGCTGGTTGCTTAGTTAAGTCAAGCAGTAGAGAGATGTTTCTTAGCTCAAAAATGCTGAGCCTTGTTGGTGACTCAGAGCAAGGGATCATTATAGTTCTGCAGGATCCAGTTTGGGTTTATTTTCTTAGGAAAATAAGCTCGTTAACAGTGAGTATGTTAAGCCTCTAAAGCTGACTGCTCACCATGAGGAAACAGCAGAATTCAGGTCCCTTGTGCACGCCGCACTCACTTTGCTCTGTGTGTGCGTGTGTGCGTGCTGTATGTATGTGTGCTGCGCTACGGTCCGCAGTCGTGTGATTGCACACTGCTTTTTTTCCAAGGGATCCAGAGAATGGCGTGGAAAACGTCAGCCCAAGCAGCCGGAGTGTGTTGGTTATGCCCAAATCAAAACAGGGTCTTGCGGCGGAAGGTGCCAGGGTCACCTTAACAACAGGCTGTATCCCAGCTCTGCCTTTCTAAA